CCACACACACACCCACACTAGACCAGTACCTCAAATTATTCACTAACCGCTACTCAACTTTATGAAGGAGGATAGAGAATATTTAATAATACCAAAACGATTGTGTATTGAATTTGCACTCAGCCCGCTACAGAACTCGAGCTGGGAGGTTGGGCCGCTGCCATTGCCGTGTGCAGGGGCATACTGTGGCGGCAGACCTTCACACTGAACCGCTGCACGCTGTACAAGGAGAACTAGACTGGAGCGACGCTGCTAGAAAATTACCTTGTGAAAGGAAAATCCTGTTTACACATTGCGTTCTTTCTAGCACAGTTACACAGAAGGTGCATAGTAAAGGTAGGCGTGTACGATCAGGCCTGTTCTTTAAACGATAAAAAGGTTCTTGTCATCTTGCACTGAGCCGCTATTTCAAGAGACGCGTCCATCTCTTCCCAGTGTTCAGAAATATCGGAGAGCTTTCAGCAGAGGCTGGGAACTTTTTTAACATGTTCAGTTTTAAGCTAGATTTGGGATAGCTTTTGGTCACTGGTGCCCGAGGAGTAACCTGTATGTCACTAGTGCCCCAGGGAGTGACCTGTAGAACACCAGTGTCCGAGGGGGTATCCTAAAGGTCACTGGTGCCCCAGGGGTGGTCCCTTTGGGCACTGTTTTCCTGGGGGGGGGGGGGCTGTTGGTCATTGGTGACCGAGGAGGGTGGTCGTAGGGCATTAGTGCCATATTGCCATGGGTGTCGCTAGTGTCATTAGTGTAATAGTGTCATTTGAGGTATCGGCTGTGAGTGACGTGATGGCAGCAGTGCGGTGTGGAAGGTAACGGTTTACTCCAGATCTCTTCTTAAATAAATTACTACAATTATTGTATTACCCCGGTTTAAATTAGCCCTGTTGTGAACAGCATGTATTTGCCTCTGTGACCCTGTGTGTTAAGACGGTCAGGTAATTCCACAGCATATTTCAATGCCACAGCAAACTCCGTTATAGAAAACATAATCTGGTTAATTCAATTAGCGATAACGGTTCGCTCCACTCAGGGGGCATGTAATTTCTCTCCCTTATAGCAAAACATTTCCAGAACGAGTTTTAGAGTAGCGCGTTAGTGGTTGTTAAAGTTACATTGTATCTTATGCCGTACTGCATACTAATCATCAGACATGGTACCATAGGGCGCGTTTCCACCCAAGTTAGGCCAGTCTTAATTACTTATTTTGTATTGTGACAGATGTAATAATGGCTACGGTCTAGGTGGGAGATTGATGCAGTGAGGATCAACAATACTCTGACTGTGTTCAGTTCAAAGCATGTATGGCTTATTCGATACATATAAATAGAGGCACGAGGAAACCCAAGACCGCCTAAAAGCCTTAATGACCTGCAAGATTTTTGATTATGCCGGTGTAATGTGACAGAGAGCCCCCTGTAACAGAGTATCCGATTCCCATTCATTTGTACAGGTAAACCGCACCCTTGATTTCAACCCACTTAGGTCAGCTAATCCTAATTATTATAACTAAATGGACGTCGGACTGTTCTGTTTCAGTTTCGTTACACCGGTTCCCTGGATTGGCAAGGTTTATGTGAAAATACAATACACGGAAAAAGTCGCATGTAAACATTGACTATCAGTAATAAAATACATAGCACAAAATTGGGAGAACCCGCCAGATGCTCCAAAGTTTTCCCCATGTCTGATAATTCATTCTGTATATGACCGTATTAAGTACATAGTGCAGTGCATCTGTGGTGTTGTCTCTCTCCGTGATCTTCATATCAGAAGTCCTTTTGATTACGATCAGTTCACTTGGAGACCAGCCCAATCTTTGGTCAGTCCAAACCGCCGAGAAGTTAGACTGGTTGTGTTGAGTTAATGTTAAAACACGGCATACCGGTGCCAGATAACTGAACTTAAAGTCAAAAATAACGCATGTACGATAATTTTGTTCAGCAGTGGGCACAGTGGCTGTAATTTATTTAAATATTAATAATGAGAAGAATAGAGCCTTTAGATTTCGATTTTCAAACTTTATTTGTAAGATTTTTGTTTCTCGACTAGTAACTTTCATTTTATTATTATTATTATTATTATTATTATTATTATTATTATTATTATTATTATTATTATTATAGTACTTTAGACTTATTGAGGAGCTGACGATGGAATATGAGTGTGCTCGCGCGTGTGTGTGTCCATGAAAGGAGTTCTGAGTTCTTTATTTATGTGCTTTTCATACTTTGTGCATATTTTTACTTGTTTATTTATTTCAGTCATCAGAAACAAAAAGAAACAAAAACTTGTGGACAGAAAATTTGCCTTCTTTTACCCATAATAAATTATTGTATTATTTTTTTTTTTTTTCAAATTCGAAAATGAAACATTGTGTCTATTTTGATACAGGGGAGACATGCCAAATGACCCAGACCAAGATTACTCTAAATGGACTATTATGAATCATTATCTATTATCTTACTAGCTTTATCTTGCACAAAAATAGGCCAGACTTAAAGTTAAGATCATTTTGGAGCTTTTGCTTGTTAATTTTCTAAACCGATTATATTCAGGGAATAAATTACCTAGCCGAGCATGCATATTTAACCAAACAGGTTTTTACCTGGCTAAATTTATCAATCAAATACCGGATCGGATAAACCTTTGTCCGAGTTATATATGTAAATAATACTAAAGCATATAATGACAATGGCTGATAAAAGAGACTCTCAAACCTGTCAACTTTAAAGAAAGGTGAAACTGAAGAGGAAGCGAGTTGTTCAGTTGCCCTGTGCCGCGCTGAGATTACTATGACATACAGATTGGCACGTTTTTGAAAAAGAAAGTCGAGCGTAATCAACCTCGATCCTTAGCCATAAAAAGATAGCATAATGAACTGGATATTGGTGCAATAATGCTGCACAGAGTACACCAGCGTGTAAATGTCATCCTAGACCTAAACAGCAATGTTTATATGAATTCTGGACCGTAGCTTTAACCTTTTCAACAAATATAAACCACGAAGACAGACTGTTTGTTTCCCCCAGATCGCTATGTGAAAAAAAAATCATTATTATTATTGTTGTTGTTGTTATTATTGTTGTTGTTGTTGTTGTTGTGTAATACCTCAGTAAGCGGTGTAAAGCCACTCTGGTCATTACACTGACCACTGGGCAGTTCTATTCACGCATGTCCAAGGCCTGATCCAGGCAAAAGATAAACGTTTCTACATGCCGGAATTTCTCTGAGAACGGTTTAAGTTTGCCCGTGGCTGCTCAGTACCCGATATGATCCCTTAGCTACTGACAGTTATTAACAGTTTGTGCACATTTCTAGTTCTAGGTATAACATGGGTAACTCGGCGAATAAAGAAGCGTTGTTGCAAGAAGACAGGACGCCGTACAAGAACCTTGACGATGAAAGCAAAGAGGACAAGAAGAGAATAAGCAGCACAAAACATAAATCCATGGAGATGGAACTCTTGGGCAATGGCAGCACGTGAGTGTTTCTGACACAATAGATAACTTAGAAAATTAGTCAATTATTCTTTAGTATTGGAATGTGTTTTGTGATTATGTTCATCATAAGGACAGCGTTCATGTGCAGACTATTGAAAATATCGCATGAGGAATGGAGAACAACACGTGTGTGTGTGTGTGTGTGTGTGTGTGGGAGGGGGTCTAAAATGAATGTAGTTGACGTGCAACTCATTGGTAACGCCCATAAGTAGGCAACACCTTCTCACGTCGCCTTTATCACTAGGCAGCTATCTTAAGGACAAGCAATGTGCCCAGGGTAAACTTTCAAATCTTAAAACTCTTTTTCTTTCTAGGCTGCTGCCTGGTTTGATACCGCATGTATTGGCGTGACAGACCGCGTGGCCGCAAATTATCGTAACGTTAGAAAAGGGGCAATTAAGTGAGATAAAATTAATATTGACTGGAACCAATTAAAGAGATAGGAACAATTGCATTACTAATACGAGCCTCGTGCCCATGCCCGCGACTCAATTAAAAACAATTAGCATGTATCAGAAAATTCCTGCTGTCTGCACCCGATGGTGGTAGGTAATTTCATAGAAAAAGTCTTTGAAATATGTAAGTTGAGATTCTGCATTTAAGAATATTGTCACCCTTCGCCCAAAACTCATTTTCCTTGCCTTACATACATTCTTTGGGGTAATAGAGTAATCTTCAGTATTCAGTACTAAATTAATGAACGTTTACACATATATCATCTTACGGGTGACGTCATAATTGCGGATTTTGGGCCAAAACTGAAAAATCGGTTTCTCAACTTTCTCTTTTACCTGAGCACCCACGATCACCGTTTCAACGCCGATTGAATCACACCATTTAGTATTCCAAAACCCTGCCAGCGATTCTTCTTAAAGGTCTTAGTTCAAATTTCATCGATGATAAGGCAAAACAATGCCTTTGTTTAATGAAAATCTGTAATTAGGGGTTCATAACTCCATAATAAAAACATTTAAACCAAAATGACGGCACGAGATTTTAGTCTATACACTTGGTATCTACACTGCCTATTTTCAGGATAAAATCTCGTGTAGGGATGACGTTACGCCCGATACCGATTGCTATCTCACCTCAAAATAGATACGTGTTGAATTGACGGTTAAAGCTTTGAGTTGTCTATGCATAAATACATTGCAGCGATGTCGTGGATTACCACTGAAGTAGGCCTTAGATTGTTTGTCGTAAAGAAAGCCCTGTCCCGATTTTTCTGACATTTGCCCCATGACTGTGTTTAATCTCTATGGGAAAACTTGTTAGAAGTGCAGCGTGTATTTTCTCTTATTTTTTTTATTTTTTATTATTATTATTTTTTTTTTTTGCGAGATGAAGCTCTAATTAATGAATTGTCTGAAAGAAAATATAATTTTGGCTGTTTAATCCAATCTCGGTTTAACTTAAATATTAGATGACTCACAATAATTAATGTAACTTCGTTTGCGTGTTATAGGAGTGCCTGTGTGAGGTCGTATATTTATTGGTTTTTCATTACATTTTTTGTTCTTTGTATTTGGTAAGTAGTTATACACTTCACCAAATTCTGTAAAACACCACAATAAAAATTCTACCAGAAAATAACTTTTACCATGAATTTGGAAAAGTCTGATTATAACTTTCAATTTGCAGAAAATGCAATACACCCACATAGTGTCAGTTGTATTGCAATGGCTGATTGCTTACAAAAACAATAAAATATCCCGTTATGGAAGTACTCTATCTTCCGTACGCCCACGCTGAGCGCCAGGCGAGTGAATTGCAGCCCCCAGAGACCCACTTAGCAACCAGTGGTGATAGAGGTTAAAGCATTAACGTTCTCTGGGGGTTTTCCACCCGATTTGCGGTAGAAACGCGGAATTACAACAGTCCTAAGTGAATTTTGACACGGAAGTCCGGACATGTTGTCGTTAATTTCAAACATCACTAAACATGAAATTGGTTTTCCTTTATTTGAAAATGTCTGTAAATATCTGCTGGGCGACAGCTTGAAGTGTTGTACATGTTGCCATTAAGTCTGTTTTTTATGTTTTATAAATGCACTTGTAATCAAGACAAGCTGTACACATTTTTACATAGTTTGTTACAAAATAATTATATCATTCTTTAATTTTGTATGCTATTTTAAAAGCCCCTGATATCAACGGGTAATATATAACACTAAAAAGAATCACACCCCCCCCCAAAAAAAAAATATATATATATATATATATATATATATATATATATATAGAAAGAAAGAAAGAATGAAAGAAAGAATGAAAGAATGAAAGAAAGAAAGAAAATTGCAAGTATTAAGAGAAATCGTTTACAAGGCAATCCAAATGGCATACCGCCACATCTTAATGAAAACAGTTGTTAAATATTGATGCGTCTTTAATAATTCAATTCGAGGCCACAGTTTACGTGGGCTTATTGGAAGAGCTATTGGACTAGATAATCACCGCCAGCATTATCAACGATCTGTGCTTGAGTGACGCCGACATTGGCTCCGTGACCTGATGGCATGCTTCAGAATTTAAACTAAACTTGCTTCAGAATTTAAACAACTTGCTTCATTTTGGTGCCTTTTTTATTGTTAAATGTCTATTACCAACAGCATGGAGACAGAGAAAGTCAATCTTTTTGTTCCAATGCCTGTTGAACTTTTTAGTTGCGTTCTGAAATATCCAAAAAAGGCAGTCTATTCGCATTTTAAATAACATTTGAACTAATATTAGCCATTGCTTTGCTTGACTTTGGGACATAGTTCCAATTTTAAGCCGCGATTTAGGACTTTTGTAAATAATGCCGACTTATTTCAGAACCCATTCAGTCAACTGTCTGCTCGCACTCTGTGTATTCTGAGATGGTGGTGATACCTTGTATTTAGTTTAAATATCGTTTATTTGTCTTCAAGCCGGTGTAACAGGAATAGTATTGCTAGGAATGGAAGTCCGGGCTCCCATATGATCAGTACATGTTAGGGTTGGTTGGAGTATTGGGGTTAGTATATGGGACGAAAGTCACCTGTACAAAGTAATGGGGAACGGACTACGGTTCCTAGCGGACTACCATTCCTGTCACCCCTGTACAAAGAAATGGGGAACAGAAATGGAATGCATTCGACCCATATAGTGCTGTCTCTTTTGTTATATCATACGTTAGAATCTTTCCCGTGGAAACTGTGATAGTCACCGTGAAAATCTCTCTGGATAGAATTGTCTTAACCAATCATAATTGGGTAGACGAATGGCCATTCCAATCCAAGATATCTTTTCGTTTTTATCCGGAAATTTTCATAAAACTTTTTGTCAAGTTCATCGTAAATTACCAAACCCTATTTTCTGGAATTATTTATTTGTTACAGGAAAATTACCCGAGAAAATATAGGCTTATTCTTCATTATCAAAAACTTTTTCCACATACTCAGAAGTTTCAGGGATGTGCACCTAAACATGCACTGAAAATAATTTGCGATATATTTAGGTTGATCTTAAACTCGGAACTACCTGTATATGGCGTGTTAATTGTGGTTTGCCGATTTTTTCATAGTGACCTTCTGTAACATAAATACAGTTCAGTCACAGTCACTCTTAGAAATGAATCATTTGCGTGCAATGAAAGGTGAAACTTATGACCATAGCTGTTAATAAAGAGAGCTGTTCATTCCAGCCAAGAGAGCCAACTGAATTATGGATACGTGAACGGGTTGAAAAGTCACGTTTAAATTAAAGATCTAGCAAAATAGTTGTTTGTCGTCTTTTATAGGGTGAGTCATCAAGTAGCCTATATCTGTAACCCCTTGCAGAGCGACGACAGACTGAATTGCTGCACTTACTCTTGATTCTTGCTTTCTAATATTTGATGAAGTTTCTGCTCGCATATCTTCGCAGAGGATTAAAATAATACCGGGGATCTGTTCTCCATACTTGCACATCTTTCGTGAGGCCCTAACAACTTCTTTTTTGTGATTGGATCAGTAGATAGGTGGAACAACATACAACTCAATATCGTTTTCTTTTTAGTCTGATCTGTGTTGTCTATCAACAGGCCATCATGTTCAATAATGGTTGAGAAAAAGTCCGTTCAAATCCATGGGTATTATTTTGGATGGCACAAGTGATTAAGTGTAATGCATGGGACACCACATCTGTATGACCTAGACCTTGACCTAATAACATGACCTAGATACCCCGTGGCATGACCTTGACCTAATAACCTCTACACCACCAACTCTTTGCACATCTTTCTCCATTCAAATTAGGTGCATATGAAATAATTGGTATCCAAGAGGCCATTACCATTACTTTGTTCTTGTTAATGGATATTTTAATCCCAACAGGTTCAGATATGACGTCACAGTGTTGCTACCCACGTGGTATCAATCCCCAATTGTTACATAGTAAGACATATTCCCCCATTTGCGTTCAGGCAGTATTTCATAATGATGATGAAATGCAGATAGCACGATTGATATTACGTTAATGGTTGATGATTGAGGGTCCATTTGGCATGTCCAGTGGGAGAAAGACGCAATGACCAGATGTAGTGTCCGAAGAGTGATTACTTTACTAGTAGGAACAAGCGGAATGACCAATTAAATTGAGACTGATCGAAGGGAAATGGCCAGGCCACAACTCTGTTGGGATTACCGCTCTGCATGAGAGATCAACGTCACGTAGAAACTGTCTCCAGAAAGACAGATCTGCAATATATATGGCCAGAAGTCCTCAAACTGACCGCGCAACGACGGACATGCAAGGGCACAATACAAGGGCGGGTCCAAACTGGTCGACTGTTTGCTGGAAGCCGGTCGACGACGGCGTGGATCCTCGACTGGGATGAACTGAATAAAAACAGCAGTAATCGACGGTGTTAATATCTCGTTTTGTCCACAGCTAGCTGGACAATACTAAACCAGACTTCAGAAATCGTGTGTATTTTCTTTGGGTTTCGCCTTTCTGTCGACGAGAACCGTTGCAACAGTTA